AACCGGAGACTTTTTCAGGAAATATTAGAACAATTGGTAGTTAGCATTATATTATATGTTTTATTTCAGAAAGGATATTTTATGAATAGGGTTTAGTTTGTATGCTTAAGAGATAGTAGTCACACTGAATTGCTAGATGACATTGTTACAGTCAATGGCTAGTTATATTTGCCACATAAAAACTGGTTTCCGGTCGAATCCATAAAGATCGCTGGCCCTACTTCAGATAGGTTTTTTTAACAATGTAACAAAAACATGTATTGGACTAAAATGAATGGCTAATTTAATTTGAATTTGAAAGATCTGGGTGAAAAAAGAAAGTACAAATAACATCCTACTGAGTGGCACATTTGACTTGTTTTTGCATCCATTAAAAAACAGATAAACTGATAAAGTATTGTCAACTACCCTAGATCAGCTTTAATTTGACTCTTTCTTTTATAGCTGAGGATGAACTTTTTCAAATACAAAAAATAAAGCAACATAGCATTTTGAAACTGACTCTGATTGTGCTCTAAAGTATATTCACATAAAATATAACCTGCAAATTAAAGCACACTCCTTTATATTAAGCCTGAAATGCAGCTCAGATAGCATCTCTGAGTGGCAAAGAGCAATAATCATTCATGCATGGCACAAACATAAACCTTGCACCATTGGTACAGCGATGGTGCCTGTGGTGGTTCATATTTTACATGATGTATAGATTTAGATGGTGATTATGCTTGCATGATGATGCTTAGAGGGACAAAGGCTTACAGCTGATGTTTTATAGATGGCCCACACTAGCTGCATTTATAACCTTTCCACCCACTGAAAACTCCCTGCATCAGGAAGATTAGTTCCAAATGGGCAAAGCCGGCTATGAAACATCGACTATCATAGATCTAAAAATATTAGAAGTCTGAAGTTCATCAAATTACTTTAGATTTTAAAACACAGCGTGAGGTCCTTAAATGTTCCAACAGTAAATCAGCTATTTTTAAGATATTTAATAATGTTTGATTACAACAAAATACTATTATAGTAACATTTTTATTTATTACAAAAGTTTAATGTTTAATAACAAACTTCATTGTGTTTTATTGAGACTTTATGTGATATACCAACACATGGAGTCAAACTATGGATGCATGGTTTTTCATTACATGGTAGCACCGGTAGCATTTTGAGGTCTGCAGATAATAATAATTAAACTTTATCGATCTTGTATTGGAGAAATTTACTTCTGCATTTGACCCATCCCCTTTGGGGAGCAGTTGGCTGCCATTGTGCGGCGCGTAGGGAGTAGTGTGGGGTTAACACACTACTCCCTGGTCTTGCTCAGAGACCCAGAGTGGCAGTCTGTGGGAGTGGGGCTCGAACTCAGCGTCCTGGAACAGAACTATGTAATTGTTTTCATTTCAAAAAGTTTATTTCAAACCTGCACACATTTTACAATACATATAATAACAAACAAAACATATACATGGCTTGAAAAGGGGATGGAAGAAGCAAAAGCATGTACTGTATACATGTCCAATCCCCTCCCGCTCATCCCAGGGACACTCCCAAGACCTCTAAACGACAAGACAAAGACAAGACAAACAACCCATCCACACTCATGCATACATAACAACACACTGGCCCAACGCTCTCCGTCCCTGCAACCCCCTCCCTACACCACACCACCCTCATAGAACATCACTCACTCTCTTCCAGGTGTTTTCTCAGGACATCCTGCTTAAATATTTTTTCGAAACGGTTTATGTTTTCACAACACTTTTGTTCCTCCGCTAAACTATTCCAGAGGGTGACACCACGACTTGAGATGCACATTGATTTCAAGGTAGTTCTTACTTTTGGTTGGTATAATCGATTTTCAGATTATTGGTGCGAAGTGGCTCCCGCTCCTGAAAGAGTTTTAAGACATTTTCTGGAAGAGAGCCAGTTGTAATCAGGGATTGTAACGTAAAAGTCCTTTTAAGCATTTTCTTCCTAATCTAGAGGTTTTTGTGAGCCAGAATGTTCCATTTTAGAAGCTTCTATGGTTTTAACTGACTAGAGAAACTATGTTTACATGTTGAATGAAAGCAAGATTTGGGATTACTAGTTAACAGTAGACTTATGTGGCCACTCATCTGTCAGGTCTTTTTCTTTAGATTTCTCTTATTTTATATATTAATATATCCTATTTACTTCACTCAGTTTGTTTCACCTGCAAGGCCGCACAATTCACCTGCGTTAGGGTGTTTTTAGACCAGACATAGCTTCTTTCTCAAGGATTCTTCATAACATGTGACTGTTTAACCAAAGTTTCTGTAATTTGTTCTGACTACGTTTCATTGTTGTAAGTAAGGGGAACACACTCTGCCAAGAACAGGGCTGAATACCAAGCAATAAGGGCTGTATGATGAACTGTTCTCTCTTTGCAAAGATATGACTGAGTGAAATCCATCAGTCTAATTTATTTTAACTGGTTTTAATAATTGAATACTTTTTTTCCACTACAGCCGAGCGTACACTAATGGATTCTTTACCATTTTCGGGCCGATTCTCCAGTCGCGTGAGAATTTTTCGGATTGGGCTGACTTTTATCCTGCGTCGTTTAGTATACAGAGGGAAACAAAGGGCGTTTAGCCACTCATGACCACCTTCCACCCAGGAATCGTAAGGTTAGAAGAAAAACATGTTTGAAATTCAGGTTTTTGGACATGAAGTATGAGCAGTTAAATCCCATCAGAGCGTCGGGCCGTACAGTGAAAGAACATGCTTCTGGAGCTTTGAACTTTTAAACCCTTCAATTCCATCGTACAGTTTGAGCTGTAGGTGTGTGCAACAATTGAAAATATCGTACAGTGTATGCCCGGCCTTAGTGAAGCTCATGAGTCTTTCTTGTTCTCCAGTAAACCTATGAGAACAGTCAGGATTATTTAGAAAAAATAACAGAGTAATCATTTTGACATTCTACGGATTAGGGAACTTTAATGCCCTTTTGGAATGGTCTCCAAAACTGATAGACTTTGTGGCTTCAATGGGAGCAAATGTAAAAGAGGTTGAAGGTTTTGATTACTTTTGTCCTGGTAATATATACCAGATCCACTCTGACCCTGAACAGGGAAGTTAATAGAAAGGGAAGCGGGCGGATGGATGCATGAGAGCAGTGGCGGCCGGCTCATAGGGGGCGCTGGGGCACCGCCCTCCCTGATAAGAGAGAAACGTAAAATATATTTTTAGAAATTAACTCATAAATGTCAGTTTTACTCTCTAGACTGTGTACCTATAAGCAAAACAAATTATATAAACTACATTTCCCTATCTACTGTCATTAATTTGTGGATTTCCACAGACAGACTCCTACCGTCTCAGTTCTGGGGGCGCTGATCAGACAGCCCCACATTTGCAGAGAATCTGTCAATCATGTACTATTGCTAGGTGAATTTAATGGCCAATCAGCGTCTCGGAATTTTATGGTCTTGGGGCGCTGAAAATACTGCGCTTTTACAGGCTTCTGAACCCAAGCGCAGGTGCAGACAATTAGAGGGAAGATGGCGAATGTAACGAACGAGATGCAGCTTCCGCCAAATTCGGTGAGATCCTTATTTATCTACCCGTTTGCCAGGAGAACAACCCTGTTGTAGGATATGAACATTTCATGTCATGGTTATTGTGACTGTGACGAATCCACCTCGTCGCTTAAAACAACCTCTCTAACTTTGCGCGCCACACACACATTCCTGTTATACTGTGTTTGTGAGGACCAATACACTCGCGCTGAGCCAAGTAGCTCCATGAACTTAAAACACACAAGCTGTTCCTGGTTACCTGCTGACATATTGAGGGTGCACACTTAATATTTCAGTGGGGTTAGCCGTGTGTGTGTGTGGGTGTGTGGGGGGTGTGGGTGTGTACGTGTTTATGCTACGGGGACTTGTCATCTTCAGTCTGGCTGCGTCTTTGCTGGGTTCAAACCCAGTTTGGTGTAATTGAATAAGTCAATGAATCTGTGTAAAAGAATTAAGTTGTAAAAATTATTTGTTTTTGTACATCGATTGTTTGTGGAGGTAATATATGGACAAAACTGATTAATGAGAAGAAATCAGAAATAAGAGAGCCTGATGTGAGGGGCTTAAACTATTTAATGAGGGCTGTGGGAAGAAAAGCGGCAATTTTTGTTTTCTGTTTCTTTGTTACATTGCTGGTAACTGGAGCGAGGCTGAGGCCCAGAGTATCTTGTATATGTTTAGTTTCTTTTGCACCCTGTTTTGAGTTTTTGAGCACAATAAATCACCAACACCAGTAACCCGACTGAGACTGGATTCTTGGAGGCCAAAGAACCCCGTCACAGTGACCCAAATCATCACTGTTACTGTTATTATATAGTAAATTAAATCATTACTGTTAAATTGTATGTATTGTCCAATTGTTTATTTGAATTCTTATTCCAGATTAGTTGGAGACATACACTAGGCTATATCAGCCCCACCAAAAATATTTTTCACCAGCCGCCACTGCATGAGAGGATATTTTCATGAGCTGTCTGTCAACAGATTATTGTGTTTTTGAAAAATTGTCCTTGATTCTTTTAAAAAGCATTTCTCTGCACATCATGAATAGTATTTCTTTTCCACACTGTTTGATTTCTAAATAGCCTGTTGAATTAGTCTAAAGGTACTGAATGTATGGTAAGTCATAAAGAATAAAATCCAAGACATAACTGCTGTCATTCTCAGTATAGAGGCTTATTTTTCCATCACATTTAACTTCACCTTTAAAGTTTTTACATATCTGAACAATTGTTTCCAGCGATTGATAAATCCAAATTCAATTCCTTAATATTTTAAGTTTTGTGAATCAATTTTTGTGAATTTCAGTTAAACTTGCTTAATATTTAGTCTCACCATTGTAATGTTATTGGGGGAAATAATGAGGCTGAGGTAAATTACAAATAGCTTTTTGTCTCAGGGGTGAAAATCTGTTGAAAATTAAACAGCTAATCTCTGTCTTCTCTCGTTCCTCAGCTCCCAGTTCCACGTTGAGTGCAGACAACGGTGAGTCGACAGCTTATGGAGGTGTGCTGTTCCATGCGTTTGTCCTCAGCTAGTTGTCTCCTCCATCTCCTTCATCCTCTTGTTTCTGCTGTGACAGAAGCAGCAGAGCTTTGAGTGGGATTGTTATCGCCTCGCTCTGGCATACACTGTTTTGTTGGTTACAGGTAGGAGGATGAATAGAGCTGCATACCAGGTTTATATTTATCAGTGGAGAAACCAGAATCCAAACTTCCCTGACTTAAACCCCCTGTCACCTGGAGAGGTGTTCTGTGCATATGCAAACATATTTGGACAAGATATAACAAGAGTATAATAATGTTAATGGAGAAAAAAGATCTATGCTGTTGAGCACAAATCAATGCAACTAGATGGTAGACAATCTTTATATGATTACATTTTTTTTAATGAGCCTTTAACAGGCTCTGCATGAAGCACAGTTATTCTTTATTAAATTATTACAGACCTACTTTGTTTTTCTGCATATTTTGTGAAGTGGTTATTAAAAGAGGTTAGTGGAGATAAATCCAGCTGTTTAGAACATAAATTAGCTGTTAATCTGACTGCATCTTCTCTGTTTGGGAGGGATTTGATGATATTGGGGGTGGGGGTGGGGGGTTGGGTTGTCAATCAGTAGACAAAGACAACCTTCTCTAAAGTTTTAGGATACCCTATTTAAATTTAACTATTAATGTAATTGTTTTCATGTTTTTGGTTTCTTTAGTTATGTGAAGTGGACTACAGATACTATTTAATGTTTTTTGTAATTATATTATTAATTATTACCATTTTTACCTCAAACTACACGGTTTGAAAGGTTATCTTTTTTATGACCACTGTCAACATGCCATTATCACACGCAATCTGCTCATTATAATTCAGTAGAACAGTGGTTGAAAGAGGGATAGGAAAAGGGATTATAAAATGGAATGAGACAGGTGAATGACATAAAGAAGTAGGGCATTAAGCTGCATCACAAGGATGAATTTAATAAAAAAAAAAAAAGTTTGCAAAGAATGATGAGGAGCGTCTGTGGTATAAATTAGGAAAAGGAAGGATGAGGATACTGGATTTAATAAAAAGATGTTGTAAAGCAGTGTTAGGAGAATAAGTATGATAAACAGACAAGAATAAAACAGCCCCCCCACAAAATGCTGCAAAAAAGAAGTTGAAAAGACATGAAATAAAACTATGATTAAGAAAGGCATGAAGGGAATTCAGTGAGAGTAACAAGGAGAAAGGTTTGGTTGACACATGGTCATAAAGTACGGTTTAGTGGGATAAATGGCCGAACCTTAACAGGATGAGACTGAAAGCACAAACTAAAATGTGCTGCTGTAAACTTTGACAAATTGTAAGAGGTGTGACTAAGGTGTGGTCTTAGTCCTGATCTATGGTAATACATTAACTACTTAGGCATAATTAATATATGTAATATCCTCCCTTCCTTCAGATCTTAAATAGATGCTTTATGCTATTCTGCTTACTACAGCTTTTCTTCCTTGCCTATATAGGAATATACACTTCTGACTTCCAAATTTGCACCACAGATCACTGCATATAGAATAAAATATAAAAGCTTGTTTCCCAGGGTTAAAGTGCTGACATAACACAGACTATTAATCAACTGTTTGGAGCACATATTCTAATTTCTCATTCCTTGATTTAGAAGGTTATAGATGGTAGACTATTTACAGTTCAGCATGCTCCAAACACTAGTCAGTACCTCTTTGCTTCTCAGTGTTTTGCTCAGCTCTCCAACATTGCCATGCAATCCAATTACTCTGAACATGAAAGTGAACAAGAGAGACTAAGGCGGGGAGAAAAGATAGAGTGGGTGAGAAATAGGGATGGGAGGAGTCAAGGATGAAATCTTGGAAAGAAAAAAAAAATTAAGTTCAAAGGAGTGAATAGATTAAATGTTGGTCTCTACTGCCCTCTGCTGGTATAGAGGCGGCAGTACAGGCTACAAATTAACCCCTCCTTTAAAATTGGTTGATTGATTGACTTTATTATAAATATAGGCAGCTGAAGTCTCTTATTTAGCAGGGTTATTATACAAAGTTATTAGCAGGGATATTTATAAAGATGGATATTCATATATATAGCTATTGCACTGGGTTATTGCCCAGGATGTTAAATAATAGTTACACATTAGATAGATGCTGGAATTGTGAGGAGCAGACAAGCTTTAACAGCAACGTTTTATTGTTTCAATCATCTGTAATCAGCAGTAATATAATACATACCTTATATAGGTTCTCATCATGCCATTTAAAACCTATATGTGAGTTTTATGTCCTCTGTACCTTAAGTCTTACATTTTTCTATGACAGGAGCTTCACAGAGGGGGGTTCTGTATTTATTTGAGCATGTGACAAGAAAACTTCTGGTCTGAGTTGCTCCTCCAAGTATTTGGCATTGTTTACTCATTGAGGTATTCTTAGAAACCTGGGACACAAAGACGGATTAGAAGGCCTTTTCTAATCTTTTGTCAACATGTCTTCCAAGACTGCTGAGCTGCCAAGAAGGAGCTCAGATGCAAGTGATTCTAAGCGACTTACGTGTGCAGTTTGCATTTAAGCTCAACCTCCTAGTGAATAAATGCATGGTTTTAAATAATGGTAACATATTATTGGATAACACATGGTCTAACAATTAGTTGTGTATGGCAGCAGGTAATAAAAGAATGGATTTCAGTAAGATGATTCTGTTTAAGAGTTTCCATAAGTATTAAAGAAAACTATAAGTAAGAATTGACAAGATTTCTCCTGTTAAAATGAACGGAAATCACTGGAGGGTAAAGTCTGCTCATAACATGTCTTTGTTGGTTTGACTGTGGTTTTATGTTTGTTTTTTCCAGACTCGTACATTTCCAAATCTGCCTCGTTGCCAGGATACGGCAGGAACGGACCGAACAGGGTAAGCAGTCCTGGCTTCTGTAGTTTATTCTCCTACTTTCATTTCATGCCTGTTTCCTTTAAGGTTTTTGGAGATTTATTAAGTTTACCTAGAGTTCATTTCTCTCTGTGAAAAAGCTATTTTGGTAAATGATAAAGTGAAGCAACCAAAATGCTGAAAGGATAATTTGGTTGCTTCTTGTTGTCATGGCAGTATCACATTTGTTAATATGAAAATCCAATTTTAATTGGCAAATTTTGCTCTAAAATGTTCTATAACTATTTTGTTGTCTTTTTTCACTTTGATTTTACATAATTTTGAAGTAATTTCCCACAAATGGATTTCTGTTACTTGCACTGAAGTTTTGATTTCCAGATTTGATCAAATTTCAAACTAAGCTCTTCTCATATTTCTTTCTAACATTTTTTCTAGCAATGTTATTGTGACATCAGTCTATATCTAAAAGTAACTAGAGTAAATTTGTGCTAGAAAATGTAAGTAAAATGTCCCCCACTTGAATTTCTTGTTTTTGTTTTTTTTTTTTTATCAAAGCCAGAGAGTAAAAGTCTTGTGGCGTATTGTCGGGTTCATGAATGCAGCCATCATGCTCAACTTTGCTCCTAAATCCATGAATGTATTTTATTTACATACAAAAAAGAGAAATGAACAATATAAGGTGAAAGAAATTAGGCTTTTACAAAAAAATAACTAATTGACTAAAGGCTCAATTGCTTTCTTGTGTTCACTTTACAAAAGCAAAACATTGTGAAAGATCAGCATCCACCAGAGAACAACAGAGGGAGACATTAAGAAACCAAAGCTGCTTGGCCATTCACTTAATAGTAATCTCAGGGGCGGATTTAGGAAATTTGGGGCCCTAGGCAAAGACAGGCAGGGGGCCCCCTGAGAAGAAAACCCATAAAACAGACCCATTCTACAGATAGAGAAATGTTAATAGAATAGACATCCATTATTTGTTCTAGGTTTTGTCCCTCTCTTCTTTTCCCTTTTTCCTCTCTATTTATCAGCGTTCTGGTGGCATTTTAGCCAGAGGATTTTTATCAAAAACATAATTAATGTGCACAAATAAGGATTAGTTGTATTAACCATACATGGAAACAGAGTTTTATGGGGCCCCCAGGAACTTGGGGCCCTAGGCAACTGCCTAGTATTGCCTAATGGTAAATCCCCCCCTGAGTAATCTATGGGAAGTCCTTCATTTGCTGCTGAAGCTGAAAATCATTTGTAACAGTTTGCTCTCCAAGGCCAAGAAAGACAAGTGGCTTTTCATTATTGTGATTCGTTTTTGGACGCAGTAATAAACTATTTTAATGTGTTTCTAAGGTGATATGTACAGCTGAGTTCTTATTTCAGCCACTTTGGCTACTTTTTTTTCTTCCCGCAGCCTGGGAGTGTGAACACAGATTACTACCAGTACGACAGCAGTAATGCAGTTAACTGGCAGATAAGAGGTAAGCTTGCTGTGAAGCTTAAAGCCTCTTGATGAATGTTTTGCTCTGAGTGTGCAAGGATATCGGTATCTGCAGCTCTTCATTATATTTTATTTGTTCTTGTTGTCTTTCAGAATACAAGGTAAAACACAGCAAAACCAGCAAGAATCCTGTTGATGAGCAAAGAGGGAAACATCTGGATTAGTTAATAATGCATGAATGAAAAATGTGTTTCAGCCACTTTTGACTGGTCAATGTGTCTCAATGCTCCCCTGAGTGATTGGTCTTATTCTTAGCAGTTGAATTACTCTCACTATTAGCAAAGAAACACCGATGGAGGCGAAACAGCATAGAAATGTTCCTTTTGTTTTGGGAAAGTGTAAACAGGAGCAGAACCTTTACAAAATGCTTATTTTTATCATTATAATAAAGGCACTTGTACATAAAAGAAGTTAATATTATGTTTTGCAGAATTTTTGTCAAGGACTAAATACTTCATATCAGCAGAAAGGGAAAGAAATAAACATAAAATCTTTGTGTTTCTCTTTTCTCGGTCATGTTAGGCAGATTCCTCAGAACTCTGCTTTTGAAAAACACCTTTTTTATTTCATTAATGACAAATAAAATCCACACTGTGCATAATATATTAAGAACCTTAGAAAAGTCCTGGCCTTATAAATATTTATATTATTATTAAACAACCTGTTTCTTGACCATTTTGTGTATATATTAATAGAAACAACTTGAAATATCAAAAACAGACCAGTACTTACGTAACTGTTTTTATATCTGTTAGATCTACCCATATGAAGCACTTATGGTTTCAGTAAGAGGAGAGCAGCATCTCCCTAATGATGTAGATAGAGCCCGTCTAGAGGTAAGTGACTTCTAATTATTTTATTTTAATCCATTTAAATCTTTTTCTCAAATAGCGACATTTGGGTTTAAGAGATATACCGAACAAACACATTCATCACTGGACCCACAGGAGCTCATTTTGCATTTTATATAAGACAAAATAGCAAAAATCTCTTCTAAAATATTGAGGATTATAATTCTGATCCTTTGGGTGATTCTTTTGCAGCTACAGAGGCCTACAAAGGCAACTAATAATAATATTACGATGCAGTGCTGCTCAGCTGATTATATATGACCAGTCTATGATGCTAACAGAAGGCTCATTAGATAGGGCTCTTTTTCTATAGATATCGACTATAACACATTATAGCGTTTTACCCATATAACAGTGCTGTTAAACAGGACTTTATTGCTACACTGGAAAAAATGGCAATGTGCTTGGATTGATGAGGTAAAAGACACATTTGCCAACAGAACAAGGCAATTTACACTTAGAATAAGAGAACACAATTGTATTGTCTTATTTCAAGTGCATATTATCTAATTATCTTATTTTAAGAGTAAAAGTTCTCATTCGATTGGCAAACTATATCATCTACCTACTAAAAATGAAGGGTAAATACACTTAATTTAAGAAATTTCTAGTTATTTCTGGAGCGTTTTTCCAGTGTATTTGAAACAGACACAAATAATTACTTTTAAAGCTGGCTTGAGCATCAGCAATTAGCATGGTTGCTCAACTGGCATTACTTTAACAGCAATCTCCACACGTATCACCTTAATGTTGTAGATGTTTCCCCACACATTGTGATTTCAAAACCCCTGCCAACATTTCCAAATCCATTATGAAGAACCATACAGTGCAAGTTGTCTGTTCTCCTGTCAGCCTTCCTGTTGTCTGTTCAGAGCCTTACTCTCACTGACATGTCATAGAAACCTCCCTTACCTTTCAAATAGCTTTTTATGTCTCTGTACTTTGAGTTATACTGAAACTAGACTGTTAGCTGCAGTAGGGTTTATCTACTGATGAGTAAAAGGTGGGATTTTGGAGTATCTGACAGATCATCATTCCCCATCAAACGTCAAACTCTGGACATCCTTTGAATAACCAATATGTGAGTGGTTACCATGTGATCCACCATCTGATCAAACTTGCTTTGGATGAACATGAGAGCCTCCCTCAAAATATCATTTCTTAGCAAGATCAGTTAACTTTAAACATCCTTTAGCTCCAGCATTTTGATGACAGTGTTAAGCCATTAATGGTGTTCCCTGAGACAAGACCGAGGGAAAAATAAGTTTAAAGGAGGGTATCAAGGAAGCTGACACAGCTCAGAGAGAACAGAGGAATTGAGAAAAGCTCTTTCCTGGTTTGACGTTGGCTGTGAGAGAGCCGGAACCGTTATAATGGTGCAGATTTTATTGAAATGAGGCTGAGTGCTGATGCATCCTTCACAATGGAGACATTTGATTTCTTCTCAAGAACACCTGAAACATTCATTGCTAAACCCCAATTCTGAATAATTCTGTCAGTCTTTGATAATTGGTGGAGATATTGTGGGCAATGTGCTCACAGCTTATGTTTATCTCCTTTATGGTAAAGAGAATGTACACTATATGACAATTTTTGTGTTTTATTATACAGAAAACCTATTTTAAATAAATATATATATTAAATTCAATCTTTTTTCTGTGACTATATATTTAACAGACATGTATAGTTTGGCTAAAGATCTGTCTTAAAGAGGTATAACCTAAGGAATGTTATGTTATTTTGACCTGCTTCTGCATCATAATTGTCTTCATTAATTGTATCTTTCCTTGCATAGCGTCACCTCTCCCCAGAAGAGTTTTACAGAGTCTTTGGCATGCCCATGTCTGCCTTTGACCGCCTGGCTCAGTGGAAAAAGAATGAACTGAAGAAACAGGTCCGACTGTTTTAGGAAAAGTCAGGAGATCCATCAACAGCGCTCTGAATACTGCTTCCAACCAGATTTCATCTGACCATGAGTATGAATATGATTCAAAGAAGAAGCATTCAGCCTTACATACTCTAACTGATATGCACTAAGGCTTAATGAGCAATAAGTATAAGGGCAACGAAACAAACATTGGATGATGGCTTTAAGAGATGTGTTGATGCTGTAAAAGACAGGAAGCAGGGTGATTGTAAGGCTGCTTTCCCAACTTGTAGCAGTAGATGGCAGTGTGTTGCAGTCTCAGCAACACTTAGAAACACCTTTCCATACAGAAAGATTCATCTGAACATGAAGGAGTGGCTTGGAAAGTCAGCTGGTTAGGAGAAAGCCTCCATGATCCAATTTCACACAGAAACTGCCCTCAAAATGCAAAATTATTAGCATTACAAATCCTGTGAGAATCTCAGAATTAATGTTACTGAACATAGTTATTATGTTTTTTAAAAATAGAATACAAATACTCAAAACCAAAATTTGTTTAATGCTTTTGTATTGTGTAATAGCATATTTGATTTCTATTTTTAGCATATTTTAAGCCATACATGCGTTATAACTTTTGTACCATTTACTGATTTGTGGTTTGAATTAGAAAAACGAGCTGTGATGTGGCTGAAAGTTTAAAAAAAGTTAAACTAAGTTCAGGTCAAATATTTAGGTTAAGTTACTCAAATGTTGCCACATTTTATTAGCCAAAGACATTTTTTGAAACACTGGTGTGCTAGATTCCTGAAATAAACCAGGCTGACTGATGATGAAACTGTGTGTGGAAAGTACATTGTATATTGATGTAGGAGTTTTGGAATAAAAATGAAAAACAATTATGGAATAAAAAAAATAAATTAAAAAAACATGGCAAATACTGTATGGACCGCATTCCAACATAATAAATGTGGGTGTATGTGAGTGTGTGTGTACCTGTCCAGCCATCAGAATGAGGACCATTTTTTCCAATTGCAGCATCAGCTTGAGGACCAGTTGTTGCAAAGTGAGGACATTTTGCTCATCCTCACAAGCTATTTTACCAATGGTTGGGTTTAGGGCTAAGGTGTCAATTGGGTTAGGGTGAGATATGCATTGGTAATGGTTGGGTTTAGGGTTAGTTTTAGGGTTAGGGCTTAGAAAGGATTGAAAATGACTGAAAATCAATGGAAGTCAATAGGAGTCAACACATGGTCCTCACTTCATATAGCAGAACGAGTATGTGTGTGTGCGTGTTAGGCAAATTTCCCAGGAATATGCTACTTTGTGGGGACTTGAGTGGACCAGTCAACTGTTCCCCATGAGGAAAGGTTCTTTATCCTCGTTTAGGAGGAAGGTGTGAATACAGTTTGAGTTGTTCAGGGTTATGTAAATGTTTGTAATAATTAGGGTTTGGGTAAGGGTCTGGGTTAGGCCACACAAAGGAATACGAAATGAATAGAACATAATGCAAAGTCCGCTTAACAATGGCGGGACATACCGTAATGTGTGTGATATCACAGATGTTAGAGCCATTAACCAATTTTATGATATTGTCACTGTAGTGAGCTCCAGCTTTTATTTTGTATTTATTGGAGTTACAATGTATTATTCCTCCTGTCCTTCACTGCAGTCTCAATAAATATCACCCTTTATAATGATTCATTTACTTATTTATTGACTCATATTCATGAACTTGGAATGCACACTACAACATCCTTTACAATTATTCAATACTCTGATAGTGATAGAAAATATCTACACAAGTATCTATCTATCTATCTATCTATTTTTTTTAAATGTGCTTCAATGAAAGCATAACAGGGTAATATGTGTATATATACTGTAGTTTTTGCTGTATCATTTATGCTTACGTTTTTCTTTCAGAAATAATGAATAACCCATCAGTGATCCCAAATAGACCCGAAGGAAATTAAAAAAACAAGTTGCTTTCTGTTTGTCTATATTTCTTTATTTTACAGCATAGCAGTTATTTAAGTTTTCAGTTGTGCTGTTAGATGTATTAATCAAACACTTTTGAAATTAATTTATTTTGCACAAAAAAAATATGTTTTCAATCAATATTGAAGTACATCAAGCATACAATCACTAGATTGATTACAAGTCAATAGTTTGATTAAAATAGGGTTTGACTTGAGGGCTTGTACCTAAACTTAAGGTCGCACAACTAATACTTCAACCTAAAGAAGTGTTATATATGTATCATCCCCTCAGGTCACAATATATGATGATTCACAGAATATGGTGTAAAAACAGTAGGATGTCCAGAGACATTTAGGAAGCTGGTGCCGAAGTGAAAAAAAGATACCCTGTGCAGCACATGAAGCCACCAGCTGCATGAGTAGTATGATGGCAGGGCTGCAACTAGCCATTCTTTTGCTAATCGATTAATCTGTCAATTATTTTTCATTGAATAATCGAACAGCAAAAGGATCCTTAAAAGGATTTTTTTCTTTTTTTTTTTTTTTTTTTAAATCAAACCAGGTGAAACTTAAACTTTTCCACTTGAGGAGTTCTGGGTAGAGCATATTAATGGATACATTTAAAAAAAATCTTAACTTAAAAATATTTATTGTTTAATTTTCGCAATCCTGGCACAATTACTGCTCTCAGTAGGTCACTCTGTCAGCTTAAGTAATTTTTTGCTGTCTCTATATGCCTGTCAACGAATAATCGTTTAATAAATTAGTTGATGATTGTTTTAATAATCGATTAATTGTTTAAGCCCTATATGAGAATATTACAAGTCTTTGCTTCGACAACCCTCGGTCAAATAATCAGGTCATTATTAGGACTGGAGAATGTGACTGCATACAGAAGATTCTGCCATTCAGATTCAGGTGTGGACAGGTTCTGGATGCCGGACCTACAGGACTGGAAAGAAGAGGAACCATAGCCTACAGGTTGGTTTCTCTAAATAAGCAACAGCAGAACCAATTATAGCAATGCTTCGCTAGTGTCTACAGAATAATAGCCATTTCAAGCAAACCTAAAAACAGACTAGTTTAAAGAGCAGAGGCTTGACTTAGACCAGTGGTTTGCATCCCTGGTCCTCAGGGACCCCTGTCCGTGATGCTTTAGGTGTCTCCTTGCTGCCACACGCCTAATTAACAGGCTTATGCAGCTTTTAAAGGCAGAAGAGGTCATGCAATCATTTGAATCAGCTGTTCTTGAACAGTGAGACGTAAAAAAAGTCTGGGTAGGAGTACAGAGGTCTAGGATTGGGAACCTCTGAGAGTTTTTTTGCTTAAAGACCTAAGTGAGCATCATCATTCTCTTTTTCCTTCTTAAAAGGACCGTCCTCCTTCGTGCCATGTCTCTGAAGTATTCTTTTTATTAAAGGATCAATGAAAAGGTAGAAAATTCATTCAGAACATTTATTTGGATAGCGCCAATTCACAACACGTCATCTACAGATAATTCAATCGGATAATATAATTTTTACACACACAGAAAATGCAACATTATCTACATGACTTGCTGTTAGTTACTGAGCAGAATTTAATCAAATATACTTTTAGTGGTGTTTAAGTTGTAATGCTTCCCAGACCCATTTGGTCCTCATGTATTTAAAGAAAGGTAACTTAAATTTGCAATAAAAAAGGCATAAATTAAACAAAGATTACCGGGGATCATTATTAGAAATATAATAACTGCATCTATGAGATACATTTTAATATAGCTTTTAACGACTTTCTTATTTAATCTAAGAGCTACATTTTAAACATTCCCTTGATCCTTCGTGGGGCAGAGAAAGATTTAGTCGTGAAGGTTAGGCCTTGATTGGCTCCCTGGTGAAATTTTTACTTTTTAATCTGACCTTCATCTATTTGTTTTGTTTGTTACCTGGGTGGTCAGCCGTCCCATCACAGGGTAAGGACCATCAAATGGCAGAGGGAGGAGGGAACAGGTGCTAACATGCTGCAACAGTTGTGTCCACCTGTCCGCTTCTCAAATGTGTGGCGCTTTAGACCATATTAACCGGGGGGGCTTAATATGGTCTTTAAATGGGGGATAGAAAAGCAAAACACAAATAACAGGACAATAGTTAATTATTTAAAATATATTAGGAAACCTACAGAACCAAAGAGCTACTTGTGACTCTGCATTGAATGAAGTGATATTTCAATGTCATTGTATGTTGGTCTGATTGAAAATTTCCTTTTTTGGCTTGGAATTTTTATTTAATCAACATTGAAAACCCCTTACCATGGGAAAAAGTAACCAAAGTAATTATTTGCTGATTAAATATCTACTAAAGGATAAAATAAATCTATTCTTTGGAATATTAGGTGAATGTACATTCATTATTCAAGTTTGTTACATATTTTTGACTTATTTTAATGGATAAGTACCAGTTAAAAATCAAATCAGATTAAGAATTTATATAAGACTGATAAATTAAGCTATAACCATTAAATTATTTTTATTTGGCTGAAAATAACACTTAGCAGAGGAAAACAGTGATCGTATTTTAATATGACTGAAGCTATTACGATCATTTTAAAATCATAATTAAAACAGAATTGTAAAAGAAAAAAAACATGGGTCCAAGGGATCCATAAATCCCTTTGCAGCAAATATCATCAATAGTAATTTTTTATTTATTTTATTACTTCATTAAAGGGCCCATAACAGGGGCCACGACCATCTTTAAAGGAGCACTGGCCTCTGTTGGCCCCTGTCTAGAACCGCCCATGTGTGAAAGTTTTGTTGGGTAAAATTTACTTAAATGTGGGGCACTGATATAATGCTTTTAAATCCGAAAAATATTCCTTGTGCAACACACTACACTCTTACAGAACAAACAAACAACAAAAACAACAACAAAAAAACAAGAATTTCAGGAGGGCTGTATTTTGGAGTGAAAAAGGCAGGTGCTAGGACCCAGCAGAGTCCTGGCTAATGAACAAGCATCCGCTGGAGTCCCACTGTAAACGGTAGCGGTCAGTGACTCACAGAGACCCGCTGTTTCCGTGGAGAAACACGTCCACATGTTTAAGAGCCCAATTTCAAATAAAATGTCAGAGGGATTAAAACTGGGAACAAGTTTGGAGACATAGGCGTTGCTTTCAGACGGCATGGATTCCAAAAGGCAGAGTGGTGAGTTACTATTTATCACAACATGAATGAAAACTTTTTAATAAATCCAAAGAAAATGAAGAGGGGCTAATCTGAGTTATTCTAACAAGTATAAAACAGGAAATAATCTGCAGATCCTGCTGCAAACCATAGATAAAACTAATAACATGGGATTTTATGAGTTGTAAAACAGATTTGTTTCAAATTGCTTTTACCGCTGACAAAACAGTGAATGGGTGGATACTTAGTTTTCCAAATGGAACAAAAAGAGCGCACCGAAAATGCGCGACTCGTGTTGTAGTAGGTGAGAGTGACGTCATGCAACCACGCGCCGGTAAGCGTGTGTTTGCATGGAGGAGGTATCCCCAGGTAGAGTGATGCAACCTGATGCCAACAGAGGACTGCTCTGTTGGAGACTTCCCCGCAGGAGGAGAAGCGGCTGCAGCTGAATGGCCGCTCTGTCTGAGCCGCTGCAGGGAGGTGGACAGCAGCAGAAGTAGTCATCTCACTTTTAAACCAGGCGGATAAGAATCAAGAGTGGTGATTTTCAGGTCGATAAATACAAAAAATCACAAAAAGTTAAGGAAAAAGGAACCAGTAGAGAGGGCGATTCCTGTTGGTTAATTAATTTAATAGGATTATTTCTTATTAAAGGAATTAAAATTCCAGACATTTTTGTATTTAGAAAGTAAAGTGTTCAGTAGAATAAGGGTTGAAGGTGTTTCTAAGTAGCCTTTGCTTCTGTAAATAATATTTCATCCTAGCAGGGCCGGGATAAAGAAAGATGTGGGCCACTTTAGGTCCCCCCCTAAATCTCCTTTATGCATAGAATAATAAAAAAAATATATATACATATACAGTTTCAATATTTGTATCTATATGTGAGTCCTTTCCAGGCTCGGACTTGTAATCGGTGATACCGGGCATTTAGCGTGCGAAGGGCCGGCCCTCCTTAAATCATACTGGCCCCAACACTTCCTCTCAGGTTGAAGCTCCTACCTGTGACTGTAAATAACTCAAGGAGCTCAAGAAGTAATACAATGTTAACTACCTAAATGATGCATGCAGTATATATAGCCCTTCCTTGTCATGCATATCCTTGTGATGCATATGGTGTCATTTTCTACTTCTTCACACTGTTAAATCCTTGCAACAAACTAAATTATAATAAAACTAAAATCCTTTATTTATATTTGGTGAATTTATGTCAGAATATTTTGCAAAAACATGTTGCGGTGCATGACGGGGTTTTGCATCTAAAGGCTTACGCTTCCCGTCTTACGTGCATTGTTGCCAGGTTGGGATGTTTCCCAATCTGGCAGTTTAGGATGGCCGTCTTTGGGTAAAAATGTTTTTCTTTTAGATTTATGGCCTAAGAGATCAATAGACTTTGGTTCAAATTGGGCGAGATTTTGTATATCCAGGCGGTTTAGGCAGCCCATTAGTGGGCCGGTGTAGATGGAAAAATGCCAGGGCCGAAAATCTTTCCCAGTCCGAGCCTGGTCCTTTCCAAAAGGTTATTTTTGAATTAAGGTTGCCTTCATAGGAAAATGTGACTCAAAATCTAAAACCTGCTTTATGTTTGACTCATCTGTGAGGTTTCGTCCTGCCAAATTACATCTTTTTAGCTTTCACGCCCCCGTCTGCGCAACATCTGTGTGGCCTGATCTTTAGCATGGTGCACCTTGAAAATATGTAACCACGTGCACAATTCTGCAAGAAAAAAAAACATGGTGGCAAGTGACTAGTAAGGGTTCACTAATATAAACATGTGGAGACATTTTATGATCTGAACAATAAATAACACTATGCTTATGGACCTCCATGCTGCTTAAATACATCAGCACTCCACTTACAGATTGCTCTGTGTGAGCCGACAGAATTGAAAAAGACTTTAGAAAAAGAACGACTTTAGGAAAAAAAAAGAGCAAAAGTCCAGTTGTCTCCCAATTTAAGCCTGTTTTATGCTTGCCTTGATCCAGTCGACTTAGAATTATAAGGGGAAAAAAATTACTGTCTCCCATGGATGACATAAAGAGGCTTTTAACTCGCAATTTACTAATGTTTTGTTAACTCGCATTCTGTAAGCTACACACTCCCGTAGAACCAGAATATGGGGTACAGCTGCCCTTTATGCATGGAACACACGTCTGTCAAAGATAACCCAGCTTTTAGAGTAAACCATGTCTTAACTTGTTGAAGTAATATTTAAAGAACAAAGCAAAGGCTGGATACAGTTTCTATCTTAAAACATTGTCCAACATTAAACTAAATTCTTGTATCAATGACAGAAGACTGATCTACAGAGGTGGATCTATTTGGTCTAAAGGTATCTGTGAGAGATGTGATGCACTAGTGACAACCCGACCATGGAGCAAGGGAAAGGATTAAACATCTGGAACTCTTTGGCATTATCTCATCCAACCCATTTTTGCCTTACATGCTGCTGTGATGAGATAAAAACAGTGCGAGGCAAAAAGTCAGTGAGCAATATTTATAAAGCCGTAATACTGAGAGGGGGGGGCTTCTTCCCGACATAAAATTCAAAAAACTTAAAGGAGCAATAAGTTGGAATGACACCGAGCATTTCTAATAGGAAAAAACCCAAAAACAACCCTCACTTTGAGAGCTGCTCTTTCTATCAAAATAAAATACCAAATGTTGCGCTCTGTTTTGGCAATCCTGGGAACTCTCATATGATTGGTTGAGGAACCAGGAAGTAAACAGGGGCTGCATGCTGCACCAAACTAGTTCCACCCTGTACCTGTAGGTTTGAAAGGAGAAAAACTTGACTTTGTGGAGACAGGACTTTTTTTTTTTTTTTTTTTTTAGGAAACATAACTTCTATCATGATTTTGGTTAATTTTACAGTGAATGTCTTAATTTTGGGTCCTTTAATAATTTGAAAATGTCTGCACTAAGCTTTGCAGGTAAGCATTGAGCCTGTGGCTGTTGAACTTTGACTCACAGCATGCCCACTGTGTGAAAATATTTGACTATAGAAAAACAACAAAGCAAGTTGCGATGTGAATTGTTTACAAAGTTGTCATACCTAGAGGGGACTTAAAATACAGCAAACTAAGGCTGAAACAATAATTGTGATTGATTATTGAAATAATGGTCAACTGATTTAGTAATCGATTAATCGTTAACTGGACTATAGAGACTGTAAAACATGGCTTTAGCTGACAGAGCGACCCACTTATAGTAGTAATTATACCAACATTTAACATAAAAAAAAAAAAAAAAAAAATCCGTCTGTCAATACTCTCTATCCAGAACTCCTCAATTGGAAAAGTTAGAGTTACCCCTGGTTTAATTTCATTAAAAGATCTTTGTTAAGGAACCTTTGGCTATCCGATTAATAATCGATCAGGCGAAAAAAATAATCGTTAGCTGCAGCCCTAAAGCAAACTTAAACTTTTGTAAAGCAGCTCATTAAAGAGCAAGATGATTCTTATCTGGAGGACAGAAAAGGGAAAAAGCAGCATTCGAGGCAAATCTCCCTCAGACAGCATGACAGCTAAACGGATCAGCAGGAATGTTTTACACTTAACGTGCCTTCCTTTTCCATATCTGAAAACATTGAATTGCTGCTGAGTCCGTACCCTTTATTTGTGTTAAAACCTTGAAGCAACATTCTATAGAGAATCATTATAATAAAAATAGCACATTTTATCTATGATGCCCCATACACTGAAGTCACATATCATATAGGAGTTTAAAATACTACAGAGTAAGAAGAATTAACACGAATAAATAGCATTTGTTGAAAAGGAATTAGAGTAGAAGTTTCTTTAACAGCCAGGAAGTTTACCCTCTTTGGGTATCTGCCTTGGATTTAATAAACACAGGGAATTTGAATTTTCACATTAGTTTATTTTTTTCAGAATTGAATTTTTCCCTTTTAATATGATTTCCTGCTTTTCTTAAATCTTTTCCTGATGTAACTCTTACCTTAAGTGGCCTTTTAAGAGAGGAAATAATCCATTCAAACATACTATACCTCCTTGGTGGGACCAGGGTGACCCAATCTAAAAAAATACAAATGTGGGGAAACTAGGGTGCTTATAGATTAGACTTTTTCAGCTATGAGTTTAACTCTTAAAGTGTTTCTTTAATCTCCTCCTGTATTAAATAAAAAATAATAATAATGACTTTGGCAAACTTCACAAAAAGCTCTCTGAAAATCACCTCTCATCAGTTGTGAACCAGAGGCGTAACCAGAACATTTTTATAAGGGTGGCAAGACAATAATCAATGGACACTGAGGGGTGGCACAAGAACCTCAAGGTCAATCTACACAGTTCCATCAGGAAAATTAACAAGCAAAACATCCATATTTTCTAAATAAGGACAAACTATACTTTCCTACAGCCTTTGCTAACAAATAGACAAATATAAAGGTATAGTGGATAAAACTCAGGGCATAAATCTTTTACATTGTCATTACTTACCTACTTGTATCAATAAACAGTCTACATACAATTGATATTACATATATACATACATTAATTATTTGATACGTTTTTATTAAAATTGTTATTTATGATTTCACTGAAGACTCCTAGATGACCTGCAGATACACATAATTTTCTCTTTACCCGATATAACACAAAATCTAGTTCTGAAAGTAGCATGAATTCTGTATTTATCATCTTTGATGTTAGTATATTGATGTGTATATTTAACCACGAAAAATGTAAATGTCTCGAATCTTCCACTTGAGAGTATTACTGCTGCCACCATCTGTATTAGAGGGAAAAATGGTAGGGTGGCCAGTGATTGGCTATCAGGATACTGTTCCGATTTGTGGGACAACAGACAGAAGTCAAACTTGGGGCACATTCTCAAACAAATCAAGACATCTTGTCACTATAGTTGGGAGGAGTTAATGACAGCCTCTTCAAAAAAAAAGAGCAATAATGGTGATAAAAAATTAAAGCAAGGCCTTATCATATCAATTTTATTTTAAAATCAAGCAACAAAGAATGCTTTCATCATTTCCTTTTTTCTAAATA